CACACACACACACACACACACACACACACACACACACACACACACAGCAAGGTGTAGGACACACTTGAGTGGGCTGTGGGTTTTAATGATCGGTGTGCAGAGAGCAAACTTTGACATTCATTGTACACAGCACAGTGGTCAACACATCAGGATACAATGCTGGGACACATTTACACAAGTGTTATCATATTGTGCCACTTTATATTTTTAAGACAAATGCTGTACTAGTTACTAGTGATTACACTGTGTAGATAAGGACTTTATACTGCATGTCAATGAGGATAAGTAAATTATAAATCTATGGTTCCACAAACATCTGTCTGTGTGTATGTGGTACACATATCTCATGAGCTATGTGCATCCTTAATGGCCAAAGGAAGTTAAAGGTTCAGTGTGTAGAATTTAGTGGTGAAATTGCATGTTGCAGCCGAATACCCCTGACCTCCCCCCTCCCCCCTCCCCCCTTCCAAACATGAAATAGAACCTGTGGTAGCCTTCAGTAAAAACTCAAAAGGTGTTTAGTTTGTCCAGTCTGGACGACTGTCAAACAGATGGCGGCCTCCATAGAGAGGACCCCCTCCCAATGTAAATATAAAGCATTTAAATATAAAGAGCAGATTCTAGGGTAAAGAAACAACAGTTTGTACAATTTAGATGAAACACACCAGAACATTGTTAGGAGTACTTTATATTAAATTTCTCTCAATAGATCCCTTTCACCTAAATCTTACTCACTGAACCTTTAAGTGATGAATTTGGTGATAATTGGACACGTAATATGGTCAATGTTAATACAATTTAAATAAACAGCCGACCAGTGCTCTGGAGCAGTCAGTGTGGGTGGAATAGTGTGCCTTCAGTGTGTGGACTGAGTTGAATGTGTCTACCCTACATCCTCTGATCAATTATAGCAGCGGTCGATAACTGGGTCAAACAGAGGGTCAAAATCAACAGGAGATTATTTTCATAATTTAATTATTTCCCCATGAAGTTGCACTTGCAACTTAATGAGAGGTACAAGTACTGACCTGTTATGGCAACAACATTCACAGAATCAGATGCAAATCTTTATATCATGCTGAATTTTACAGAGCTTTTATTTTGAAAAGTTGTGAAGCTTGTATCAATTGTTAAACAGACTTCTGAAATAGCTGACACTCAATGTATCAATCAATCAATCAAATGTATTTGTATAGCCCATATTCACACATCACAATTTGTATCATATGGCTAAACAAGGTGTGGCATCCTGTCCATAACCCTCAACAAGAGTAATACAAAATAAGAAAAAATAATCAGTAAAGCAAATAATTCAAACACAAGTAACACACCTTGACAATAATATTGACTATACAATCCTCACTGCAGATAAACCAGGATGGATGAAGACAAAGTTTTCTACCTTCACTCTGCACCATTCTCTAAACAGTTTAAATCATAACCTTTAGGAGAAAACTTTGCAAGATTAATATTTTATTTGGACCCTCCTCTTCACTGCTGCAAGATCTGCAACTCTGACTGAAGAAGAAATCTGCGTTCAGCAAACTGATAAATGTCCCAAACTGTGAGCAGAGTGTTTCATTTAAACAAATCTATTAGTGAGATAGTTGGCAATGTGCACTTCAGGTTAGCTCTAAATGAAAAACTCAACATGTAGCTGCTGCTTACATAGTGAAGGTGGGAGCTGTTGTAGGCGACAACCTCTGGAGAGATAATCTGTAAAACTCACATATTGACTATGTTGAAGAATACAAATGAGATGAGTAATAATTAAAAGGCTGTTATCTGCTCTCCAAAACCTTTCTGAGGTGCCCTCTCTCCTCTGCATTAACTGCACCAACTACACTTTGTGATCAGTGTATTAAATATGAGACAGTTCTATACAACAATGTATCGAATGGTTAAAACAGATCCCAGTTGATTTTCAACGTTAAATAAGCATAGATCATGTGACAGTATTCCAAGAATGCAACACTGACACTGTTGTCTGAAAGAGTCATTTTACTTTTTGATCATTTGTGTGCAGTGAACGCTCCAGACCTGCCTGTTGGACTGAATGGGCTCTTGCTTGTCCTGTGTTAATGCTCCAGAGCTACTTTAGAATGATTCCTGATCCTGGTGGCAGCTTATCGTGGACTATTATTTTCAACAAGACTGCTTGATATACAATTTGACTGCTCACTTACTCTACCATTACTGACAATAACTCCTCAATTCATTTAATTTCCATTATGTTATAAATGGTTTCTTTTAATCAATGTTGTAACTACTCTTGATTTGATTATCTTCTTAGTTACATGTGGAATCTTTTGCACTTCTGTCCATCCTGGGAGAGGGATCACTCACATGTGGCTCTCTCTGAGGTTTCTACATTCTTTTCCCTGTTAAAAGGGTTTTTTTGGTAGTTTATTCTTACTCTTGTTGAGGGTTAAGAACAGAGGATGTCACAGCTTGTTAAAGCCCTATGAGACAAATTGTGATTTGTGAATATGGGCTATACAAATAAAATTTGATTGATTGATAAACAGTCTGTGGTGCAGAGGGAAGTTAAAAAATGTTTTGTTCATCCTACCTGGTTTATCTGCAATGAAGATTTTATGATCAATATTTTTCATAAAATGACATTGATTTTGATTCATAATTTTTCACGTGTTCGTTATGTTAAGTTTGAATGATTTCACTCAGCTGGCGTTGTTTTTTTCATACATTGCATGTTAGCTATTTCAGAGATCTGTTTAACAATCAACACGATGTTCAGACCAGATGAATGACTTTTCAAAATAAAAGCTCTGTAATTCAGCTTACAATAAAGACTTGCAGCAACAAAACAAACTTTGTGCTTTTACTTTGTAGACAAATTGCTAAAAAGGAAGTCATTCAATGAATACTGTTGCCGTTATGGAGATTAGCACCTGCGACAATCATGAATATCTGTGTCCGTCCATTATGGTGATTGCTGATTGTTTGCACTCTGCCCTGCTCCCACTACTACTACAGAATGTGAGTCACCTGTTTGTTAAAACCTTATTAATATTGAGTGTATTACACCAAACTCAGCACTGCACTTCCTTGGGCAATTCGCTATAGCCATGCCAGATGTGAATTTGATTGCGAGATATGTGTTCCTCAGACAGACAGACAGACAGAAAGACAAATGTCTGTGAAATGAGTAGGTAGATTTAGCTTTGACTATTTCTACTTCTGTATATTTTTGAATGCAGGACTTTTACTTGTTTTAAATACTGCAGACTCTCCTATGTAAGAATCCAGGGTTGTATGAGATTCAAATCATAATATGTTTTGAAAGTATCTTTATTAAAGATATATCATTTAATGTTTTTAGACTACAAGCAAAGCCTTGTCCTTAAAAGCATAGTGTGAAGCAATTAAAATACGAAGCAAGCATCTTTCCTCAGCAGTAAGATGCATTCTTATCATGTGTATGTGGTGTATATCCAAATTATGGAAACACAGTCAGCCCCAGTGGGCTAATGTGGTCAGTGGCCATTGCCCTGTTTCACTTTGTCTAATGGGTTAAGTGCTTTTGGGTAAATAAACACTCAGCAGATGCTGGAGGGGATCACGCCTGAACTTTCTCTGTGGAAACTGAGCAAATGGCTTCCAGATTGACTGGTGCAGAAGGAGGGAGGGTTGGAGTGCTGCAAAAGGGAGAGAGTGTCATCAAAGGGCCTGTTTTTACAAACACAACCCCTTGACACATCAAACCGGGGCACCGGCTGCCTCTGGCCCCCAGCTCAGCTGCACCAACAATGGCGACCTGTGTGGGACCTGGTTCCACTCATAAAGCAGGACACCATGGTGTTTTACCACGCTCGGCCAGCCAGCAACACGACCCCACTGCACTTTCTCTCCCCAAGCGCCACCGCCACGTCACATGTTTGGAACCATAAATACTTCACCCCAACTCTCCTGACCCCCCCAACCCTGTTGCATCAACTTAAAGGAATGCTATTAAATGCCTGTTGACTTCCACTGATGAATAGTGTGGTGGGTGGAATGTGTGTCAGGAATGATGTGATAATGGTACTCGAGGTGAATGTTTTACTGTCCTCTTTGATTTAAATAGGTTGGTTTTTGAAGCTGATACCACTGCCAGCAAATAATATATGTGTAATGTGTTGATAGTCATACGTGTATTGTTCTTGCCAGGGAGGAAAAGTCATCTGAAACAGCAGTTGGATGAACATGAGATACCTAAAGTCTCCAAAATAGCCTCTAAAGCCCCTAGCAGTCACAATACTTTATGTGGACTACCAGGCCAGAGGCAAGAGGAAGACATAATATTATTTCCATATCACAGAAGAGTTTACTCAAGCTGCTCTCAGACACACACTCAACTCTGGATGATGGTACATGTTTGTATTTATAGAGCACTTTTCTAGTCTTGATGACTACTCAAACCTCTGCACCCATACATTTGCACAGTGCATCTATGTGCAGCAGTTTCTCTAGCCCTGCACTGAGACGATTTTCACAAAAAATAGCTGGAGAATGTTAAAATAGGGACAGGGGAGACAACTTGCATTCTTTGCAATATTTTGGATGAAATTAGTGTCAGATTATTCTTCACTGTAGGTGTGAAAAACAATATATCAATTATGAAAACAATGGATCAGTGACATTGAAGTGTGGAGACAAGATTGTTGCAGACACTCAACATGTACCAAGTTGTACCAATTACTATTGGTCTTAATGTATTTACTGTAAGTAAGAATATCATGCAACTAGTATCTCTCACCAAGTACATCTCAGCATTGATAAAAACATTTATTCTTCTAACAGAGAAGTGAGCCAGCATCATGTTACAGGTTGCTCAATAGGTGATTTTAAACAAAAGGCCAATAGTCATATTTCATGTGAACTATACTGCATATTAATACCCAAA